TGTGTATCTTGATGGAACGTGGTTTGACACCCATGATGTAGTTCAATATGGCTGGATGGATGATAGCAAAAAGTGCTGCTTGAATACTCCTTGTTCCAGAGGAAAAAGAATTATAATTCTACATGCTGGAACTAAGAGCGGGTTTGTACCTAATGCCTTGTTATTATCGGCCAAAAACATTAAACAGTGTCATCAGCTGATTATCATGAGGATATGACGGCTGAACTTTTCGAAAAATTGGCAACGGAACAGCTGTTACCGAATATTAAAACAAATTCCGTGATAGTAATGGATAATGCGTCATACCATTCTAGACTATACACCAAAATTCCAAATACTAGCTCCAAGAAGGAAGATATCATAGAATTTATGGAGAACAAATGCATGGCAACACCTAGTAAATGTACCAAAAAGGAATTGTTGCAATTAATTAAGCAACAAAATTTTCAAAAAGAATATGTAATAGATAAACTCTTTGAACGCCACGGGCATACGGTTTTTCGGCTCCCTCCTTATCATTGTGTTTCAACCCAATTGAAATGATATGGGCCAATGTAAAAAAGAAATTGCGGAAAATGAATCAATCTCCCCAATTAAGTGACGTTGTTGTCCAAAATATAAGAACAGTGATCGAAGAACTTAACAAAACTGACATTTGGAAAATTGTGTAGCGCATGTTCAAGTAAAAGAAAAAGAATATCCTACTGACCACCAATTGAACCGGTAGTTATAAACACAAACGACGACTCAAGTTCTGGACACAGGGATAGTGATAGTGTTTAATTGTTTGAATATTTCTACAAAGACTTCCACAACTTGTCAAAAATATGTTCTGTATATCGAAGTAAATGTGATCTCTCGATTAATCTAAACCTAAGAGACAATTCGACTGTAAGACGAATTGGCCGATTTCATGTAAGTATCTTTCAAAAATAAGCTCTTTAAACCGATGAAACTTACAGATCATATTCATGATTATTTTTTACCAAAAAAAGGATCAACTTTGTTTGAGCGTAACTTGCTTACGTTTGATGCTAGAAACTTTTTTAAAAATCAAAAATAAAGATTTCTCTAAACAATTAAAAAAAAAGTAAAAAAATATATTTTTTTTATTATTTCACGTTGAATTATTCGATATGGAATTTGACGAATAGGTAAGAATCTATTTTTCATTAGCTATAACTCTGCTTCTGCTGGGTATACAGACTTCATACATATACTATTGTTTTCACTTTTTTATAAACTGTATTTTTGCTACCAACATTTTTTCCATAAAATACTTACCTTTTGAGTTATTTGCGAGAAATCGTCCAAAAACGTGTGTTTTGATGAAAAATGAATATATTCACTCGCAAATAACTCGAAAAGTATTGATTTAGTAAAAACTCTATAGAACAAAAGTTACCTAGAATTAGTCAGTTTATCCACTTCCGGACTTATTTTGGATGTATATCTTTTCACCCCCCAAGAAGGTGCGGTACTCACACCCAGGGCAAAAATACACATCGGCACAATATCACTTTTTTTCCTTGACACGTTAGCTATATGTGTATGACAAATTTCATATCAATCCCAGTGGTTCTTTAAAATTTAGAGTTTTACAATATTTTACCGTTAGTGAATGACTATATTGTGTATTAACTTTTAATCATCTTTGGTGTCAAGTTCCTAAAGAAATATGAATAATTAACAATATTATTACTGTTTAACAAAATATTAGACTTAATTTAAAAATAAAAGTTTATTATTTAATTGCTATTGCGCCGCCTATGTTTTACAAAGAGGCCGACACTTGAGTGTCGAATTTTGTTTTTATGACTTGTCCAACTGACATCGTAGAAACTATACCTGGATACATCTACTTTGTATCATTTAGTAAACTACCTTTAAACTTTGGATATAATCTAAAATCGAACCTAATGTAATGAAAGACTAAGTGTGACTATTCGTTACAGCATTAACGGAGTACAGTCTTTTTGTGCTTGATATCGGCGCCGAGTCTTTTAATCTGGGGAATTCCATCAGAATTATCTTGCAACGGATAGTATACTGTATCCAGACATTTAGTGTCTCATTATAAGAATTATTTTAATAACAGCTGTAAAACTGAATAATCCCTTGTAAATATTCTATTGTTCGATAATTATCACACCTACATAAGCTGCCAGGACCGGCTACTTTAAAAGTCTGCTTTTAATGAAATTGGTTGTTAAGTCGTTTGAGTGTTCAGTTTGTGCAAAAAATTAGTTGATTATTATAAAAGTGTTTATTTTTAAATTTAGAGTGTGTACACTTGCCGGTGAATCCACGTAAGTCAAATTTACCTTTATTGTATGAAACAATGTGGCGTCCCTGGAGTCCAGAGGATAATAGAGCAATTTCGCAAGTTCATAAATCGGAACCAAATCGACAAGGAAGTGATCTCGTTTAAGTTTTAGAACCTGAACACCGCCAACGCATCCAAACAAATTATTGCCAATGTTTTTTAAACTCTTGTCAAAAAAACATGGACAGTAATAAGCCTTACATGAAACGGCAACTTTGACTAAAAATCCATTATCCACAGTCAGAAAAATTGTAAGTAATCCTATTATACCAAGATTAACAAGACGGGATAACACTATTTATCGGAAGTTCGATCGTGCAGATGAAGATCTTATTCGTAGCAAAGTGTATACATTGTATGAAGAACAAATTGTACCTACACTAGATGTATTAGTTGACAGGCTTCACGTCGACAACACTGAAATTAAGTGCGAAATGTTTGCAACGTATGGGGTTTGTTTGGAAATGTTTGCAACGTATGGGGTTTAAATACAAAAAAATTATATTAACGACGGGTACTTATGGAATCCTATCTATACGGATATGGCGAACGGAATATTTACATGAAACGTGATTTGATACTTACGATACGCCATCTAAATGTTCGGTAGATAATAGTCAATCTTGTTCAACAAAAGAGCCTTCTAATACAATATATCATAGCAGGCAATTAAATAAAATTCCCAGTTCAAGCGATACGAAAATAACAATATAGAATTACTTATACGACAAAGATATTTATTTTCACATAAATAATACTAAGAAGGACTTATTGGACATTTTAAAAAGTTTCACATTAAAAAAATAATACTTCTCCGCCAGAAGACTTCCGCCATATTACTGTGTATTATATAATAATAGTAGTGTAATAATACTTCGCCACATTTAAATCTCTCTGTCCTGCATTTAATTAAAAGGAAAGTACTCAACATTGATGCGAATAGTTGGAAAACTGCAGTCTCACATACCATGAAAGCTGAGAATTCATATTTTCCTACACATAATATACAAAATATTATCATCAATTTAAGAGACGACAGTGATAGTGACACAGATTTGATATAATATCTATGTGATGTAATATTTATACTCGTTTTGTGTGTGTGTGTGTGTGTGTGTGTGTGTGTGTGTGTGTGTGTGTGTGTGTGTGTGTGTGTGTTTTGTGTTTTTTCTGCCAGTCAAATTCATAATGATTTTGTTAGACTACAACTTATCACTAACTCAGAGGAGTAATGTGTAGTGTCTGTGTTGAGTAAATATCTTGTTACTTTTGTAAAGTCGACTTCATTGTCTTTACAAAGAGACGCTAATTTTATCCGAACGTCTGCGGTCCCTCCGGTGAGTACCGATTTACTCGTTTTAAAAGTTTCATATCAAAGGTTTATGTTAACTTGTTATGTGTAAGTTTTCCGTTTCATGTCTGAAAAAGTTGGCAAGAAATGGGAAGTTTTATTATTAATTTCATGAAAAAAAAATTATTTTTCAATAAAGGTTATGCATCACATAGGAATCATTAATCAATAATATTATAAAATATTAAGTGGTAGATAGGAAAAATCAAAATTATTAATTAATACCAAAGAGGAAAGTGATTTTAAAATTAGATATGCAAGAAAATGTAATTTTAAAATGTTTGTAGGTATTAAAAATTATGTCCAAGTTTAGATTAATGGCCTTCTAATAATTAAATATTACATTTAAAGTAAAAAGTAAATAAAAAAAGACTTTTGCATTTGTTGATGTATTATGAATAAGGTAAATTAGAAATGAAATTAAAAATTAATGCACCTACTGGCACATCATTAAAAGACTATGAATCTAAATTTAAAATGACATTTTATTCTGTACCTAAATTTAAATGCCCTTCACTTTTAAGCATAAATCAATATTTTTGATTTTCGCTGTATACCACTTAAAATTTGATAAATTTGATTATTGATTATAGATTTCTATGCAAAGTAGAATTTTTATGAAAAACATTTTTTTTTTCATGAAATTAATAATAAAGAAATTTCCCATTTGTTTCCAACTTTTTCAGACACACTTAGATACCTTACTAACAATATAAAAAAACTTCTTCCCTTACATGGAATATAAAATATGATCATATACAGCTATATGTGAATATAACTACATTAATTAATTTTCATTTTCACTTCACTATTTTATTATTTCACAGTAACAACAAAAATTGATTATTGCTTTCAAAATTTGGTTATATTTAATAAAGAATCGACACAGAAAAATATAATAATTAATTAATTCTAATACTCCATCAGTTTATGTATTTTTTCTCTTAATTATCTAGATATTTATTTAAATTAAATATGTAATGTAAATGCTAAATAAAATATAAAATTCTTTAAGCCGGTCCTTTTTACTATTTACCTGAAGAGGCAAATCTCTTTACAGTTTCGCCTTTATCAGCGGGATACTTTTAAATCCTGTATAAGTCAATTCTTATAATTGTGAACCAACTTTACATCACAATTTCTATAGATCCTACTGTAAACTACCATGAAAAGGTCTTTAGTACGTAGACCGAACGGTCCTACACATAGTATAGTCAGTTGTTTCCAATTTTTGCATTAAAGTCTGCCATTATGATTGTTAGATTATACTGGAAAACTTTTATTTATTTTGGTGTATATCTGTATATTGTTATTTTATTTTAGCTCATGAGGCTGGTCTTGCAACTCTACAAGTAGCATGCGATGGCTATGTGATTTCCAACTCTGTGATATTCGAGTACAAGTTGCCACCAAGAGAAGAACAGGTGGCTGCACCTGAACCTAAAGTAGAAAGATGCAATGATAATTTACTTAAATTTACACTACTTCAAAGACTCGAAGCTATGGACGATAGATTACAAATCAAACAAGAACCTGTCGACAACGATGTGGTAAGATTTTTTTATTTGTATTAGTTTTCAGGTTTAATATTTTTTATGTATACAGTAAACTTCTTTTAGTAATGTGTTATGATACGCTTGATAATACGTAATACGCCAGGATTTTGGTGCGTCAAGGACCAGAATCGAGACATTCCCAGATCATAAACGTCAACTATGGAAGTTTTACTTACTGTTCTGCAAATTATGTAAAGCAAAGAGATAAGGACAAAAGACCTTTAGTAACCAGTCTTAATTATCGTAATTATCACCAGAAAGTAAAATGGTGAAAGTTAAAGTCTGATGATTTGGCAATAGTCTTTAAGAGTAGAGTGCTGGAAGAACTTGAGCAAAAAGATGCGGTAAATGACCGGTGGGAAACCAACAGTAAAGTTGTGGTGCTAGTGGGAGAGGAAGTGCTAGGAAAAATATCTGGTAGAGGGACTCCTAGAAACAAAAAATACTTAGTGGTGGAACGATGAGATGCAACAGAAAGATAGAGAGAAAAAAGAGGCTGGGAAGAAATATGACAGGTCCAAAAAAAGAGGAAGATATATACAAGGTGGAAAATATTAAAGCAAAGCACACTGTAGCTACTGCTAAGCAAACATCGTGTGGACAGCTGTATCAAGATTTAGACACATCCGAAGGGATTTAAACTTATACATCATTGCTAAAGCAAGGGACAAGTCGTCAAAGGACTTGACCCACGTGCGTCAGATTAATAGTGCGATGTTAAAATAAAGCAAAGATGGTATGAGTAAAGTTGTTAAATGATAAACACCAGAGGAAAGATAGAGGATGATGGATCCCAAAAGAGAATGTAATACCGGGGATAGTGAGAGATAAAATTGTCGAGGCGTTAAATAGTACGAAGAACAGTAATGCAGTAGGACCTGATAGGAATACCTGTGGAGGTTTGGAAGGCTCTAGGAGAGGAAGGGGTTTATATTTTGTGGTAAATGATGAATACGATATATGAGAAAGTAAATATGCCAATGCATGGAGAGAGAATGTAATGGTATCTTTGTATAAAGAAAAAAATCTCTAAAAAGGGACATCTAGGACTGTAAGAACTATAGAGGGATAAAGTTAATGTCGCACACAATGAAAATTTGAGAGAGAACTGTAGATCAAAAATTAAGTAGAGAGATATCGATAGGGGAATAACATAGGGCTTATGCCAGAAAAGAGGGCAACGGATACCTTGTTTGCGTTGAGACAGTTAATAGAGATATACAGCGAGAAGAAAAGAGAGCTACATTTGATATTTATAGATCTTAAGAACGCGTACGACACAGTTACTAGACAAGACCTATGCAGATGTATGAGAGAGAAATGGGTTCCTGAGAAGTACGTAAAGCTGGTGAAGGATATGTATGAGGGAACGTACACCAAAGCAAGGACTGCTATCTTATTAAACGAAAGTTTTGTGACGGTTCATTTGCATCCCGATTCTTCACTGAGTCCTTACCTGTTTAAGCTTGTTATGGAAATACTGACAGAGAAAGTAACGGAAGGGGCTCCTTGGTCAATGCTTTTTGCTCGTGATATCAGGAAAACAAAGAAATTTTGGTAGAGAGGGCGAAGGAATGGAGTTGGAGTGTTGGAGAAGGGCTATTGAAGAGGGAGAACTTAACGTTAACAGCTCTAAAACGGAGTATATGTGGTTGGGAGAAAGATAAATGGTTAAGGACATAGAATTTCTTGGAGAAAAGCTAGGACGAGTAGAAGAATTTAAATACCTGGGCTCCTATATAACGGAAAATGGGCTACTATATCCAGAAATTGACCACGGAATAGTAATGAGACTATTTCATTAAGACATAAGCTCCAGATCATCATCATCAATCAGTTAATCGCGTCCACTGCTGGACATAGGCCTCCCTCAGTTCTTTCCAGTGTTCTCTACACTGGGCCGCTTGTAGCCACATTCCCGCTACACGTTTTATATCATCGGTCCATCTAGTCGGTGGTCGCCCTCGGCTTCTTTTATAGTTTCTGGGCCTCCATTTCATAATACGTCTTGTCCACCGTCCATCTTGTGCTCTGGCTAAGTGCCCTGCCCAGTTCCACTTAAGCGACGTTGTTCTTTCGATGACGTCTTGAACTCCTGATCTTTGCCTGATTTGTTGGTTTTTTATGTGGTCTCGAAGGCTCACGTTCAGCATTGCACGTTCTATGGCTCGTTGCGTAACTCTGAGTTTATTCGCAGATTTTTGCGTGAGTGTTAAAGTCTCCGCTCCATAAGTTTGTACAGGTAAAACACATTGGTCATAAACCTTTCGCTTGAGACACATGGGAATTAAACTTTTTAGAATATGGCTTAATTTGCCAAATGCCCAAGTTAGGCCTATTCGCCTCTGTATTTCATGTGTTTGATTGTCTTTGCTTATTTTGGTTTCGTGTCCCAAATATTTGTAAGTGTCTGTTTGTTGTATGGTATTATTGTCAATAGTTATATTTCCACTCATTACGAGATTTGTTATAAGTTTAGTTTTCTCAAAGTTTATATTTAATCCTGCTCTTTCAGATAGACTTTTAAGCAAATGCATCATAGAAACTGTATCTTGTAAATTATCTGCGATAACTACATCATCTGCAAAGCTCCAGATACTGTGGCAGAAAACCTGAAACAGGTAATCATATTTTCCATGACTGTGAGGTACAAGTTTACAGACGGCAAACACATTTAGAGTTTCCCAGTTCTAGAGTAGGTATCATGCATAAATTAATGAAAGACAATAAGCTAATTGACTGAAATACGACCGGCCTTTTACAGACGGCTTGCAGAAAGAATGCATGGATTTTATTTATCAATTCTTTATCCGAAAAATAAACAATTTATGTTTTGCAGACGATACAGGCCTACTTGCAAACATCCAAGAAGAACAGATTGATCTCATGATTTGACCGACTGGTTGAAAATGATAGTAAAGATTTGATCTGGAATATTATAACTTATATATAAATATAGCAAAGAAAAAAATCGTGATAGTAGATAGGCAACTTGTTTGATGGTCATGATCATAATTATGTAACATATTTTTGTTTTATCTTAGGTTGAAGACACAGCTCTTTTCGGGCAACCAAATTTTGAAGATAGGCTGGTTACCTTTTGCCAAAATATGACGTCGAGAATATGGAGACACGGTGAAGAACTTAGTGTCTCATGGTTTGCCAGCCACAGGGGAATGACGCTTTTACACCTTGCAGCCTCCTTGGGATATTCTCGTTTAGTATGCGCCATGTTGCACTGGCGAGCAGAAAATTCATCTTTATTACTCGAAACTGAAGTCGACGCTTTAAGTCAAGATGAAGATGGGTTTACGCCATTGGTAAGTATTATCATCATATTAAGAAAAAATTTAGCTTTAATTTGATGTAAAAAACATGCATATATGTCATGAGCTGCATATTTTATTTAAAAAATAAATGAACGAAATAAAGTTTGTGTCAAAAATTAATTAATATTAATTGAATTAAAATATTTGCGCCCACTTTTTGACTAGTAACTATTATCAATGTATTCTCCTTATTTTAAATGTATGTAAATATGTGAAATTGATTAACTATGTTATGAACGTAGTAATTTTGCAGTGGGATCTTGTACTATAACATCTTCTTCTTCGTTGGGTCAGTAAGTATCCCCATCATTCTTAGATCTGACTATATATTGTCTCTCCATCGCATTCGTGGACGTCCTAAGGACCCTAATAAGGCGGTTATTAAGGAGTCTATGGACATGCCCAGCACATCTTAGATGTTGGGATTTAATCTCTTGGACTATGTCGCTCGCTCTATACATCTGCTGGACCTCAGCATTTGTTCTCATTTGGTATTGGTTGCTATTAATTTCGTGATAAGGCCCAAAAATTCTTCTGAGGATTTTCCTCTCAAAACATCTAAGTCTTCTTTCAGTTTCTTTGGTCAGGGTCCACGTCTCACACCTATATGAGCACCGGTCTAAAACCGTTTTATATATGCTAATCTTTGTACTATAACATGCTACAAGAAAATAGCTTCAGAACAATAGTTGTTAGTAAAAATGTTATTTTCATAATAACCAATTATTGTGGCTTAATCCCTTTTAAATATAATATTTATATATAATTTAGTTTAAAAAGCTTGTAAACGGAATAATAAATGTTATTTTTTATATTTGTTTTCTTTTATATAAACTCAATATTATTTTCAGATGTGGGCGTGTGCTAGAGGTCATACAGAAACAGCTGTGATGCTGTATAAATGGAATCACAACGCACTTTACATGAAGAATGTATCAAATCAAACGGCTCTTGATTGTGCAAGGTCAAACAATCATATGGATTTAGTAAAAGAAATAGAAAAATTGGAGTTAAGAAGAGATAAAGCCAATATGATGTTACACTCAAATTTATCTTCTATCGATACACTTTCTCCAACATTGATATCACCAGCTAGCTCGATTGGATCTTTGATCTCGATCGCTTCCACCAGTAAATCACACGATGGAGTTTTTCTAAGACCTGGAGCAGTAACAAGGTAAGTAATAGTTATAATTTTAATTTACCATAATTCTAGACTTTTATAAATTATGGGTAATATACTTATTAAGACATATTTCTTTTAGGAGTGAAGTAAATAGGTACAAGATTTTAAACGTAGATCTTGATAGTGATACCAACAACAAACTGATAACTTCGGCTCCAAGTCCTATGCTATCCGATTTTTCTTCAAGTACCAGAGGCAGTAATGGGCAGAAGTTGGTCAAGAGACCATCGATTGATAGTGGAATCAATATGAGCTGCGGGCCAGCTGCAGATAGTTATAGACCTAAGAGTTCCAAAGTTTTCAATTCGCGTGATACTCCAAAACTTTCAAAGTAAGTGTGATTCTGGGGTAACAACTCATTAATTATATACCATTATTAAAAAAAATATTGTGGTATATAGGGACAAGCTACACTAAACGTCAAGTTGATATAATAGCTGATTGATTGATTGATTCATAAACTTTTATTCTCAACATCCATCTAAGATGAAAACAAATTTGGTTTTGGCTTTAAAAACTAGGGTTATCAACTTGTCACACATACAATTCAGGGACAAGAGACTAAAAAAGTTGAGATCTATACTACAAGAGAATTCTTATCCCATAGTGCTGTTAAATAAACTCATTTTCGGTTCTTCTTTTCCTTCACAAGTTTCTGCAACCAAAATTTTCATAACAATGAGATCCGACAATTGACATTGACACATAACGCATCAATATTACCATCTAAAATAACTTATGGTTGCCTATCCTACATTCCATTTCTGACACCTAAGCTAATGAACATCTTCAAAAATGTTACTGGCTTAAAAATTACAACCAAAAATGTGAAAACGGTATCGAAGCTTTACACAAAAACAACAGATTCTTTCACAATACAGGAGTCATCGAATGTTGTTTATTCTATACCGTGTACTAATTGTAATAAAATTTACATAGGAGAATCATCTCGTAATTTTCACAGCAGGATGATATCACATCGTAGTGATATAAAAACCAAAAAAATCAATGCATGTGCATTGACAGAACATGCACTAACTCTGAAACATGAATTCAATTTCGATGATTCCTGTATTTTGGCAAAAAAAAGAACCATTTAAAACGTGTTTTTTTGGAAATGTGTTTCATAAAATCTAGCACATCTTGCATCAATAAAAAGTCTGAAATAGACTTTATTGTTATTTACTAGAAAAACACCAAAAATAAAATAAATATTTACCTGTACATAAATTACACCTCTATGTATAATATGTTGCATATTATTAAGACATGTTTAAAAAAGTATAGTCACCTAAAAAGGGCCTCTAGTATTTGTTGAAAAGAAAGATAACATATTACACCTAATTACATGTTAATTACAGTGTTTTTACTTTCCATTCTCTGTATGAGTTAAAACACACCAGTAAAACATGCCATCAACTAAGTTTTACTATTTTTACAATAAATTTTAAAAATACTATAATGTATTTTGTTCATAATTGTATATTTTAATGTGTGTTATAAATGTTGAGTGTCAATGCTTATATAAATAATCTCAACGACTAGTAAATTACACTGAGGAATTGTGATTGTAAGTAAATTACACTGAGGAATTGTGTTTTTAAAAATATTTACATTTTGTCTTATTACAGTGTCTTGAAAAAGGAATAAAACCATTCCGAAAGCTCGACAAAAAGTCAAAAGAGTGTTTTTTAACATCATGGCCAATATTCTGACTGCAACCCTAATAAACTGTGTTGTTTGTATATATATATATATATATATATATATATATATATATATATATATATATATATAAAGCTTTTAGTTGATCATGATCATTCAGGAGACATACTTAAAGATATATTAGAGGAAAGAGTTACAATCTGGAGATGATCTGTTATGAAGAATAATAGCACCGTATAGCAATTGTTACCATATTCTTTGGACAGAGAGAGAGACTAATCGTAGAAAGGAAACATACGTAAGAACTTCAAGCTAATGGATAGTGAAGCTGTAAGCTAACATGTTGATAGTTATAAATATTGAAGTAAAACGAGAAACGAAACAAAAATATCAAAAAATCAAATGGTGGCTGTTAAAAATGATCAGCTAGAAATTAAAAAATAAAAGAGATAGGATATTTTTTAAAAGTTTATTATAGCTATTGCAATTAAAATGCTTTAAAAAACCTCAAGGTAAGAGTTTGAGAGATATGGTGATAGTTAAATGAAGTTGAAGAAAAATAAAGGAGAAAAAAAAGTTATATCAATAGTCAAATAACAATTAGTCGGAAGCAGATTCTCCAAACTAAATGGTCCTGAAAAAAGGGGTAGTGGCAAAAGCTAAAGCAGAAACATAAAAATTTATATGCACAGCTTTTTATCGCAAAAGATTCTAATCAAATCAGATGTATCCGAGACGAAAGTATTAAAATGCTAGTTTACGAAAAGCGTGTTAAAAAGCAATGGAATAAATATTTTGATAGTTTATTAAACGACGAAAGTCCAAATCTTTTATAGTATTGTTAATGGCGATTAATCTTGGATTTACTCCTACGAACCGGAAAATAAACGCCAATCCGCTGTGTTGGTGTTTCGCGATGAGGAAAAACTAACAAGGGTGACCCTTTCTCGAAGTGTTTTAAACAAAAAGGTTGCAAGTTTTGTACCAAAATCTAATCATGTGGCAACAATTGCTTTAGAAGATTAAAGAATGGTTAGTTTTGATTGGTATATAACAGTTGGTTTACCAGAAGTTATTATGAAACACTGACAAAGCAACACATAACGGCGAATCATCCTATATTAAGACAATGCAACTGCTCAAACTGCCCAAAAGACAGTAGAGCTTTTGGAGCTTTAAATTATCCACTTATGGCTCCGATCTAAGTCCTAACAACTTCTTTAAGTTCAAAAAGATCAAGAATTCAATGCGTGGGCATTGATTTTAGTCGCTAGAAGAAGAAATCGATGCCTTTAAAAAAGCAATTTTGCAGGTGTCAACTGAAGATTGGAACAACTGTTTTACCAATTGGTATCAATCTTGGTGGGACATATTTTGAAAAGCAATTAAGTGTTTTAAGTCTATATATTTTTTGTCTTTATGGCTTCATGCAAAATTAAAGCAACAACTCTCGTAATGTTGAAATCGTTAAGTACAGTGGGTGATCAAATTATTATGATCACTTCAAAAAACTTTATATTTTACTGTTTAATAAAGAATAAAACTACATATGAGTGTCTAATAATGTGAATATAATATAAAAATAGATCATAAACACGTTCTTTTACAAAATTTTAAAATATTTTTTTCTTTGATCTTAAATAACATTTTTTTTTAACATTTTGTGTGACCTCCTTTAGCTTCGATGACAGCTTTGATCCTCCTTGGCATGTTTTGAATGTTTCTCAGGCAGTTTTCTTTTATTTTATCGTTTCTGTGCCAGGTGGCAATAAGTCGCTCAATTAACTGCTGCTTATTTGTGACAATTTCCTGGGCAACCCCCCTCTTCATAAGCTCCCATAGATTTTCGATCGGATTGAGGTCTGGGGAACTACCTGGCCATTTCAGTACTTTAATTTTCATTTTTCCAGGTACGATGTTACTCTTTTTGCCTTATGGCACGGTGCTGAATCGTGCATAAAGGTAAAATCCTCCGATTCGCCAAACCAGTCTTTGATTTGTGGCATGAGTTTTTTTTTTCCAGAACTTCAATATACTTATGTTGATTCATCATTCCATTTACAATGTACAGCCTCCCTGTGCCCTTACTGCTCATCACAGACCATACCATAATCTTGAGAGGATGCTTTTCTCGCTCCACTATGCAATCCTTATGATATTTTTCACCCACTCGCCTTCGGACGAATGCCGACTTATCCATAAGTATCTCCACTGTAGACTCATCGGAGAAACAAACCTGTGAATAAAAAAAACTATAAGATATTTTTTTTTGGATAAAAACAGTGGTTATAGTGATTTAAACTTTATTAGTGACGTAATTTACCTTATTCCAATCCTCAATTGTCCAATTTTGGTGTTCTTTGGCCCATTCCAGTCTCTTTTTCATCATTACGATGGTCAACTTTGGTTTTTTGGCAGGGCGACATGATTTGAAACCTTGCTCAGTAAGCCTTCTGCCGACTGTCATGTCAGAAACTGGCATACCAGCTTCACGAATAAGTCCCGTGAGGATTCTTCTTGGCTTCTTTCTATTGTTTACGAATGTATCCCTCATTTTTCTTTCGTCTCTGGGTGTAGTGACACGCTGTCGACCACATTTTTGGGCACGCTGGTGAATCAGGGGTTTGTTGGTTTCAATTTTTTTTTGATATTGCTCACTGTTGCTTGCGCTACTTGGCATTGTTGAGCTATCTGACGTTGGGAAAGCTTTGTATTCAATAAAAGTGTCTTTATTTCCACCATTTTAGACACAGGGACGTCTTTAGCCTTACCCATTATGATTTTCTTCTCAAAAATCGAAATGTTTTGAAAGTGTCTTTAAAATTAAAATTGATATTCTTTTTTCACTCACAATCACCACTAATAAATTAATAAAACATACTACAAAGATAAAACGATACTAATCTTTCAAAAACAATACAAAAACATACAAATTCAGTTGTAAACTCCAAGCGTAAATTCACCACAATGTGTATGTTGTCACGTAATCTGACACAAACGACAGTTCTAGAGCGGTAAACGTCAAAAAAGTAAGGTTATCAGTGACAAAATATATTGGCATACTTTAATCGTATATCAGCACATAATTTTATTATAAAATTTCTGAACAAATATGAAAAACTTAAATTTTTGTGACTGATCATAATAATTTGATTACCCACTGTATTATTATTTTTTAACTTAGATAATGAAATATATTAAAAGTCGTTGGATTTAGGTATAGGGAATACCGATACCAAATGAATTGGCTTAAAAAGATACAGCAGAAAGTGTAATAAAATACAGGGTATTTTAATTAAAGTAAGCAGCTTAAATAAATTATTTAAATTATAATATCAGTTGTATGTATGAATAGAAAAATGTTTACAAAACTCATTATAATATCAGTTGTATGTATGAATAGAAAAATGTTTACAAAACTCATTGTTTATATTTTTTAGATTCGATAGGAGTATGTCCCTCCCTCTACAAACATCGTGTTTAAAAGATCATTCATTCGACAATGATAGTTTAGATTCCCACAAAAAGATGGATTTTGCCTTATGTAAGTATCTTAATTTACCTTTTTATATTAAAGAAATATAAATGTTAATGGGTAAGTAGAACAATTACGAATAAGATGCATGAAACACATTGACCTCACTAAATATTTGGCAAAGTTTCCAAAGCACGTGACCACTTCCAAGAGGAAGTTGACATATTAAAGCTGTTTTAGCAGTTAAAGCACACTGCGATTTGAAATGGGCGTATCACTTACTTTTCTACACTGCTTACGCCAGACCATCTTTACTCAGTGGCGCCGGCCAACGGGTACTTTAATGACAACAAATGCATTATTCTAGATTCAAATTAGTTTTAAGACGAAATAACTGCCCGTACGTTCATGAGATTTGACGCCACGAAGGCGATAACGATAAAACTAAGCGCCAATAATAAGTAACATGTTTCACTATTAGATTTTAGTATTTTTTAGCAATTTTCTTTAAAGTTGGAACAAAGTTGGTTTTCTCGATTATTACTAGACACAGAAAGATGAAAAAAATCAACGATTACAGAAAAAATACTCTTTCATGTGATGGGCGCAAAAAGTTTGGTGATAATAGAACGTTAAAGAGTATAATCCAATGTTTCAACAGAAGTTTAAAAAAAATAAAAAAAAGTAAATCATTATTTTAAAGGCAATATAATTTCGAATAACGTGTCCTAATTTCGAGACATTTTGTCGGTAAATAACACTGTCCCTACGTTTTACTATGATTATCAATACATTAAGATATTTCACTACTATTTATGGTTAGACTTAAGTGTGTGTATATATACATGTGTGCGCGCGCATGCTACTTTTACTGGTAAAACTACTTTTTTGAAAATAACTATATTTCTTTGCAATAGTCATTCCAGTTTAGAACTAAGACAAAGAAAGTGCTATATTTGGTCCATTTTTTTATACACAGTTAAGTTTGAAAACTTAACTTATATGATCAATCATTGTCTAAATGGACACCCAGTACTAGAACAATGGAGAACGGCATACATGTCCTCAATACACAAAAAGGGGGGCAAAAGGAATTGTAATAATTATAGAGGCATATCGGTAACCAGCACCTTGAGCAGACTGTATGGACGAATTTTGAGAAATATAATCGAGGAGGAATGAAGAGGAATAACAAAGCGGGAACAAACATCAACCACACATTGATAAATGCTGTACAAGAACTGAATAGAGACTCAAAGACAGATAAAAACAGGAAAATAGCTACAAAAGGCTTGCGACAGGGATGCTGTATCTCACCAACCTTATTCAAGATATATGTTGCAGCAGCATTGGAAAGATGGAAAAGAAAGGTGCATAGGATGGGTATAGAGCTTAGCAATGAATGTATATATACACTCCAGTTTGCTAATGACCGTGTAGTACTAGCGACCGACAGTGAAGACATGCAGTACATGCTTAGAAAACTGATAGAAGAATATAACGACTGGGGAATGAATGTCAATACAACAAAAACCAAATATCTTTGTATTAGAAACGAATCAGATAACATAGACGTCGAAAACGGACAACATAATTCCTGCTGTCAGAGCTATGACTACTTGGGTGTTGCCTTTGACAATGCAGGAACTGATACACGGGAAATAGAAAAACGAATGACTCAAGCAAAGAAAGTCTTAGGATGTCTCAATGGTATACTGTGGAGTAAAAAGATAACGAAAGGAAGAAAATTTAATATATATGAGACCTTGATTAAAAGTACTCTTCTTTATGGCGCTGAAACATGAAGAATTAGTGAAAAGAACAAAAAGCGAATAGAAGCAGTAGAGATGGATGCAATGAGAAGATCTTTAGGTATTTCCAAACGAGACCGAATGAGAAGCGATGTAATAAAACAACGTATGGGAATAGAAGGAAATATAACTCAAGATATAGAGAAGAAACAATTAAGGTGGTATAGGCATGTTCAACGGATGCCAGCAACAAGACTCCCCAAAAAAGTAGTAGAATGGCAACCGATAGGTAGACGGAAAAGAGGAAGACCCAAATTAGAATGGCAACACGGCGTAAACAAGTCCATGATCGAAAGAAATTTAACAACAAACGACTGCAAAGATAGGAAGATATGGTGTTTAGATATCGGACAACGTCGAAAGACATTCTAAACCGATGTATATATATTTTTATATACAGCAGAAGTGTGAACACTAAAAGTATCAAGCATGAACAGAAAAAAGCATTGGAAATGTGGATATATAGACGGATGCTGAAAATACCTTAGACAGCAAAAAAACTAATGAGGAAGTACTAAGGAAGGTAAACAAAGATAGAGAATTGCTAAAGACTGTTAAACATCGGAAAATGTCTTATCTGAGACATATAGTGAGGATAAATCTATATAGAATACAACGACTGATTCTTAAAGGCAAAATAGAAGGCCATAGACGTGTAGGAAGAAAACAATTTTCTTGGTTAAAAAACATTTATGAATGCAGTGAGATATCAAATGCACGACAATTATTCCATGTGGCAGAAGATCGAGAATGACGATCGCCAACGTTGAATAGTTTTTATATGGCACCTGAAAAAGAAGATATTTGCAAACCAAGAGCATTAATTGAACAGTTCATAGTAAGCAATAAATAAAAAGTCGCAGACATGTTTGAGAAAGCAGACAAATGACTTTCTCTTCCCAAATTTGTTCACATCCTAAAAATAGTTGTTCAAATATTGACATATTTGTGGTAGTGATGCTGAAAGATCATTATGAATTTATTAATAAATTTCGTGTAAGTTAATAAAATTGTAGCGAAGAAAGGGTCTTCGTTGTATAAGAATAAACTGCTATTTGAATTTATATATTGTTTAAAATTAATCGTAATTTAAACTGATATAATAAACTAAATTAAATGAAAACGTTGCCATACATTTAGTTTGGTTGTATGATTTGCTTCTAAAATGCGATATTTTTTATTTTAGTTATAAATCGATTTCAATTTTAAAGCAATAAAAATACTCTTTGAGTTAATTTGACATAGACTGTGATATTTATATTTTATTAAAATGTAATAGTTGTATGTACATCCAGGTTTCTATATTTCACCTCTATAGCAGTGTCGTCTGCATATAGGCTGAGTAGAGTTCCTGGTGTTCTTGGAACGTCAGCTGTGTATATGCTGCACAGTAGGAGTGACAACACTGCCCGCTGTGGCACTGCGACCTTTGGGGAAACTTGTTCGGACAGGACTTGTTATATTCGAACCCTAAACCTACGGTCACTTAGGTACGGGGTGACTAGTCTTCTCAAGGTCCCTCTCTACCATATTCTCTCATTTTATATACTAGCCCTTGATGACATACTCAATCAAAGGGTTTGCTTTCATTTAGAAGGACAGCTCCTGTATGTTGTTTATTGTTGAATCCAGCTACAACGTATTTGGTTAGATGGACTACATTGTGCTTCAGGAATTATCCCAAGATGGTCTGTCTCTGAAAGATGACTACTATTTTGCTTGCCACTCGAAGTAAGGTAATTGGTCTGTAATTTTGCAGGAAAATGCTATTCTTCCATGGTTTGTGACTCATTATCACATGGGCTTTTGTGATTCTTAATTTTTACTACCGATATAGACTTGCTTGTCTTCATTTGTATCATTCGTATAAGTTTCTTTGAAGTTCTCAAATTTGCTTATAATATAGTACAAGCTTGGTCTTGAAATACAGCCATGTACTGCTTTAAACTCAACAAACAGGTGGTATAGATCAGTTGAACTTCTGCGTTGTTTGAATTATTTTATGTAATGTGAAGATTTGGTTTCGGTGTAAAGTTTCAATCTCTTATGTAAATTGTTTGGCAATATCTGACAAATATTGTCCATAGACGATGTTCAGAAGGGTTATTCCTCGGTAATTATTACATCGCCGTTGGTTTATTTTTTTGTTCACATGTCGTTTTGTGCAATGGGCACATTAAGCATAGGCTCAATTTCCCCAGCAGTTCTTTTTTTGACTTGACAAGATTTTAAAACTTAAATTATGCGGAGTAGTAGTTATGTGTTGTTCGTTGTATTTAAATAACTCTGCTGCCATCACTGCCTAGAGATTTGTCATTTTTACAGTTTTTTATTTTCTTATTTTCAAGCTCTATTTCTATATCGTTAGTATTTTAACCTTCCAGTAATTCTCGGAAATATTCTTTGCAGCTTATCAGAATATCATCTTTGCTACTAAGCATTTTGCCATCCTAACCGGTGCTTGTCCTTGTTGTAAATGCTTCTCTTACGACGATTATGTGATGATAAAAAGTTCGCGTTTCTCCTTGATCCATATTACATTTGAGGCATTATATCGGCATTATATGATTCTCGTTACGAAAATCTAGTTTCACGATAATAAATGCCACATTCTATTCATTTATTATTTTCGTGCATTTTTTGTAAAACCACTTTTTTCTTGCTTGGTGTCGGGATATACTCAGCAGCAGTTTTTTCGGTAGCTGATTTCGATTCTCCTTTACATGTTTTTTATTTTTGTACTCGACTGATATGGGCTATTCGTTATGCATTTTGGCTACAGCGCATGACAAAAGAAAAATATTTAGTGAAACAACGTAAGCTTGGGTACCTCGGCCACGTGATGTGGAACGAAGAAAAATATCGAATTCTTCAACTCGTTATGTAGGGTACAGTATTTGGCAGGAGAGGACCGGGACGCCGTCGTAGCTCGTGGTTGAAAAACATGGTTTGGTATGACTTTCGCGCAGCTGTTTCGCAAAACACTCAACAGAACCATGATAGCCTTGATGATTGCCAACATCCGGACCGGATAAGACACTGAAGAAGAAGAATTATGTACTTTAGAAAGGAGCTACATCGTTAAAGGGGTTTTATTGGTTCATGTGGCCAAATATGAAAAAAACCACGAAGTGCTATTATTTAAAGAGGCGAATTTGTCACTGTGCACTAGGTCTTTTCATATGTGAGTGCCCATTGACCATAAGAAACAATACAACCCCTTTAACCTTTTAGTTCCTTTTAGCCCTATTCTTTAACATAATCAATAGCCTAATAAGCTACCAAGGTTTTCAGCATTTTTAAATTTTATTTTAGCTGGTTGGTCACCCTTTTTTCTTGGCGTTGCAAATTTTCATCGTAACTTTGCACTACTAAAGTTGTCTAAGTCAATATTTACACTGCTGTAAGGTGTGACGTCCATTAAATTTGTGAAAAGACTTCTGTTAATTAGCATATGATCTATTTCACTTTCAGTGCTTCAATGTGGTGGTATCCAGGTTGCTTAATAGATATTATTGTAATTTATACATGGGTTTCCTATGGCCATGTTTTCAGGTCATAATGGGATAAACAAATTTTATCCCATTATTATTAGTTACGTCTTGCAATCTGTGTTTGCCAATATAAACTTCATAGCATCTCTTCCTTTTTCTGTCCAAACCTGCGACATCCTGCAAAGTGCAATTGTAAACATCTTTGGAGAGAATGAGACACTCTGCAAAGATAGCGTGTTGACAAAGTTCATTCAATTTTGTTTTGTTTTTACTACAGATTGTTTTTTCTGTATCGAATATCTGTCTGTTATAGTTTCTTCTGATCCCAATGAGTTATCTATGATTTTCTAAAATTTTTCATATAATTATTTAGGGATTAATGATAATAATTTAGTATGTAGTTAGCTAGTAACGGTAAGTTTACTAGTCAACTTAGAGAATTTATGTCCAAAATAGAAATCCATAACGAACTCTAATTCTATAATGAATACTTCCTTACTGTTATTATAGTAATATTTTTCCTTGACGTTAAGTGCATTTAATTTAAGCATTACTCTGGAGATTTTTTTATTTATGTTATGAAATATTCCTAGTTAAATAGTAAAATAATAATACTTTTAAATTTTATTTGTATTTAACACGTTGTAAGTAAACGTAGAATAAATTAAGGGATTCAACTTGTTCCTTAAAGGGAGGATAGAAAACTCTTTGCATATCAGTTCCTATCTTGCGTCTATATCGCCAAAACTATGTTTAAAATAGTGTAAGTACTGTTAAAATACTCGTATCATAACAGAGGACTGTGTTATATTCTCAGTTTATTACTTTACAAAAAAAAAATGCCATGGGTTTATTGTTTACTCTTTTTAAACAACATATTTGAAATTTATTATTAAAATGTATGTAACAAGTTCATGTAAAATACTCTTAAGCACAAGATAATAACAAATTTACATTAGGTGATCAAATTATTAGATAGAAACTTTTTTCCCTGCAGTTGTCCATCTGTTATAAATAAAACACTAAATTATTGCTTAAAAGTTTCTTCTATTTGCTTTTTTCAATAATCACTTGAATTATATAAACCTTATATAATACACTTTATACTTATGTTTGCAAATACGAGTAATTGAGGGTCGTATCTTTAATATCTGCCAATGATGCATTTAAAAAACAACTCGATTTATTAAGGTATGTTACATGTTATAGAGATCTTTGATATCGCTTTTATTATTGATAGGATTTTGATATTTCTTTATGTGAATCATCTGCAATATGCATATTTTGCTGTAGCTCTGTTTTTTTTTCAAAATCTACACATTTTCAAAGGTACCATTGGCAGGGATTTAATATACTTCCCTGAACCACTCGCATTGTTACATATTATACAGGGTGTTTCAAAAAGGTATGTCACATTTCAAATTAAATCACGCATTCCGGCAAAAATAAATGGATTGAATCTAACTTAGTACAAAAGTGTACACAAAAACAGTTACAGCCCTTTCAAGTTAGAATTAAAGATTATTATTATTGAAGATATAACAACTTCATTTTTCTAATGTAGTTTTTTATGTTAATTGTTAGTACGTTTTGAAAAAGGGTACAATAAACTCGAAAGCTTAACAAACCTAAAAGAGTTTTACTTAAAGGTCAATATTGACTACTAAACCCAAGATATCCGTATATATATATATATATATATATATATAATATATATATATATATATATATATATATATTGTCACTCTTTATGAAATTTTTAGCAGTTTGATTAGACAAAAAAAGTTCGTTCTTTACGAGAACAGAAATTATACCGTATACCAAATAGTTCGTTGTATCACCCTATGCATGTGTGGCTGCTTAGCACCATCTTGGCATGTTTTCTATCGATTTATTCCTGCGGGTTGTGGAAACGGTATCACTTCTATACCAGACATCTGAGACATGGTGGTAATAATATTATTGAATCTTTTTTACCAATTTTCAATTAGTTTCGATTTTTTTAAGGCTTAGCAAATATATTCCTATAATATGCTGGATGGTTTATATCACAATCGATGAATTTTAATTCAGAGATTTTATCTTTAATACATTTACAGGGTGTTTAATTAATACTTGGAAATATTTTAACTGTAGATTCTTGAGTCCAAAATGTTAAGATTTAACCCAAATTACTTAAATAAAATGTAGTTTCTTACTAAATTACAGAGTGTTTTATTGAAAAATGTAAAAATTATTTGTACGTAGTACCTTAAAACTATTTCACATATCCATGTCATACATGCCAAAGTGTAGGAACTGTACACCCTACTAAATTATGTTTAATAAACGTTTCTGACTGCTAGCAGAGGCCTACGACAATGGCAAACTTACTCTTTTAGCACACTTTTTCATTTTCCAATGCTTTCTATGTAAATAATATACTAGTCATTCGTAACCATAAAGTCGACGAATTTCTTTAACCCATTTGCTGGTTTTTTATGACCACTTTATTGGACTTTTGGAAGTCGAATTTGCATGGCATCTGTCGACGTTTTAAGAGTATAACGAGATTTGTTCCAAGATTTTGACGTGGCTAACTAGATCTTTTGTTGTGTCTGTCGCAGTTTTAAGGCGGTAGTTACTGCCTCCCTCCTATGCAGAACTGCAAGGAAGGAAGGTTCAGCATCGCCTCTAGAGCTGCAGTGGGACATGTTAATATTGCTCCTGTGATTCCCAGACAAGCTAGCTGCTGCACAGTTTGCAGCTTGTCATTAGCTTTTGTTAGTTGTGTTTTTGGTCACCATACGAGTGATGCGTATGTGACCATGGGTCTAATAATCGTTTTATGGGACCAGAGGATCATTTATTTTAGGTTTTAGCCCAAAGTTTCCAAATTTCTTGCCACCAAGGCTCTGGATAAGATTTTTCAATACGACTATTCAAGGTGAGTTTTTGATCAAGAGCTATCCCCAGATATTTTGCTTCTTCGGAATAATCTAATGTGATTCCATTCATAATGGAAACATGTAAATTGTATTTACGTCTCCTTGTGAAAGTTATCACAGTCCTTTTGTTGGGGTTGACATTTAAACAATCATTCGAGCAACCAACTTTTAATTTCGATAAGAGCAGATTGCATGAGACTAGATATAGTCTGGTTATGCTTGCTCCTAAACCTAACAACTAGCTCATCTGTATAATCTTGGGTTGTAAAACCAGAATCATGCATCTTAGTGAGGAGATCATCCACGAGCAGAGACCACAGCAGGGACGATAATACTGCTCTTAGAAGGAACACCTTTACTGCTATCACAGATTTTTCCTCAATACAAGAAATGATGATTCTGGTTGTTAACACTGACTAAATCCTTTGTATTAGCAAGGCTTCAATTCTCCTCTATTTATGTATCTTAAAAGCAAACAATTACTCACATGCTGTTTATTTTTCTGCTAGTGTCTATCCTCTATGGATGTTGGCTACCAAAATGGGCCATCGTATTTTATCAGCAGCTGTTCGAAATAGGTCTGTGGTGGGCATACCTGTCCACTGTCTTAAATTCTTAAGCCAGGATACTCGGCGGCGTCCGGATCTCCTATTTCCTTCTATTTTTCATTCTAATATCAATAGTAGGATTCTGCATTTATTTTTATTTCTTACTGTATGTGCGAAGTATGCTAACTTTCTGTCTTTAATATATTTCAAGGCTTCAGGTTCTTTTTGTAAACGTTGCATAACTGCGTCGTTAGTTATATGATGAACATATGATATTCTGAGCATGCGACGATAGCACCACATCTCGAAAGACTGCAACCGTCTGCAAGAGTCATCAGTGAGTGTCCATGCCTCTGCTTCATACATACGAGCAGAAAACAACAATTAAGGATTTTGTGTCGGAGATGTAAGTTCAAGGTTAAATTGCAGGGAACTTTCTTCATCTCTTGAAAGGCACTCCTTGCTTTTTCGATCCTACATTTAATCACGTATGAGTGATTCAAGTTGTATGTGATGTTGCATCCTAGGTATGGTATTTTTTTGTTTTATCCAATACTTCATTGTCTGCCATGAAGTTTGCATCTGTATCTTGGTGTTTGCATATGATCATAATTTTCGTCTTCTTATTATTAAGTTTCATTCCATATTTTCTACCGATGTTAACTACTTGATCTATCAGTCTTTGTAATCCCTCAACACTATCCGCAACAAGGACAGGGTTGTCTGCATATCTTAGATTATTTATTACTTCACCGTTAACAATCACGCCATCAGTGGTTTCTCCGACCAAAGCTCCTCGAAATAGATGTTCAGAGTACGCATTCAACAGCAAAGGCGAGAGCATGCAACCTTGTCGTACTCCTATTTGTATTGGAACTTCATCCGATAATTGATTGTCTACTCGAATCTTGGCTACTTGTTTTCTATAGAGATTGTCTATTATTCTTATATCCTTGTCACCGATATTTGCTATTCGCAAAGTATCAATAAGCCTCTCATGCTGTACTTTGTCAAATGCCTTTTTGAAGTCAATGAAACAGGTAAAGACATCTGTATTAACATCTCTTGCTCGTTGTATCAATACTTGTATGCTAAAAAGTCCTTTTCTTGTGCAAAGACCGCTGCGAAATCCAAATTGTACATCAGCAATACCCTCCTCCAATTTCTTGTATGTGCGAGCATGGATGATGTTTAAGAATATTTTGAGTGAGTGGTTCATGAGGCTTATCAATTCGGTATTTTTTACAAAGTAAAAATTCGCTGTTTATTAATAAAATAAAAATGCGTCAACTAAAGTAATAAAACTTTTATGGTCGTCTGTAGATTAGTAATTACAACTGAAAAGTTTTTAATAAAAAAATGAGAATATACTTCCATTATTTATAGAGAGTGAGAGGACGGACTATATTAGACATAAATATTTAAATTTACATTTATTTTTCTTGTGATTCTAATAATTTTATCATCTATAGCAAATTGATTTTTGTGCACGAATAATTCGCATGGAAGACAAGTAGGTTTTATGAACCTTTATCTTGTTCACTTTGAGGCCATAACCTAGTGCAGAATATAACAATTATTACATATATCTTACTGCAAAGTAATGAACTGAGCAATTATTTTCTTCAAAAACTAGTTTTTCAACAAAAAGTACCAAATACGTTTTACAGGAACCTCCTATACAGTGTGTATATTAAGTCTTACCCCCGTAGTGAACTCCGTTATTTAAGACCAAGATGAAAAACGCTCAGACCCGCCAATTTTTATTTTAGTAGAGGTAGTTTATAACATAAAAAAATGTCACCCTTTTCATCACCTTCACTTGATAGCTACCCCCTCAGATTTTTTAAATAGCAATGGGGGTCGTGCGATAGTTCGTGGGAAAGTTCACAATATTACAGTCGCCGATCTGAATCATCATCTGTCAATT